AAACGGTCTACAAAATTTTGGGTTATTTTTTTTTTTTTTTTTTTTTTTTTTTTTTTTTATAAGTTCATTTCATCTTCTGAAATGCAACTGTCAGAACAAGGCAGAGATTCTGCAGAACACCCCGGCTCCCTGACTGCTCCCCCAGGCACCCAGGTGGGGGGTGCGGGTCCTTCCAGCAAGCTGACTTTTTTATCATGGAAAGAGGTTCAGAGACAGGCAGGAAAAGAGGGGGGGGGAAAGCCTTAAACAAGCAGAGAGTCAAGTCTGAGAATGCAAAAGTCCATACAGCGTGGTGTGGAGACTGCAGATCCAGCACAGGTCGCTGCTCATGCCGTTGGGGCAGCAAGGATGATGTCTGAAGGGTGACGAAGCCAATGTTGAGCCTGGAGGAGGCTGTTTAACTGAGAAGGGGTGTGAAGGAAGAAGAAAGTAATTAACCCTGAGCTGGGAAGGAAAGGATTGATGAGAGTGGCAAGCGAGCAAGAAGATCCTTAGTAAAAGTGCTCAGGAATTTTTTGAAACCCCCTTTTAAAAAAACAAAAAATAATAAAATGCTGATTTATGAAAACAAAAGATAATTCCTAAACCAACACATTCTTAGGAATTTCCATAACATGAAAAGTAACTGGGAAAAAAGTTTTTAAATTGAAATTGTTCATCCCATTTTTATAAAAAAGCATGGTTTAGATTTTTTAATTGGTAAAACATTGTACTGTTAAACAACTTGGACCACTTTTCAAAGGCCAGAATCAAACCAACACATTCGGATATGGTACAAGTGTTTCAGTTGGCCCAAACTTTGTGCTCAGGGGCCTTGTCTTCATTAAAAAAAAAAGGGGGGGGGTTGTACTGGTCTTGTTTTTTGCTGCAGTCAGGGGCAGATCTCCTTCAGCCACCTCTGGTGGAAGACTTTTGTCGTCACTGGAAGACATGAGCAGACAGTGCCACATTTGGGCAGTTGCCCTCACATTCATGCCAGCCTGTGGCAACAAGAACCAACGTAAACCCACAAAACCCCACATCATGGGCCAGACCAATGGATTTCAAGTGATGAGCTGAGGAGCACCCTGACGTGTCCAGGAAAACCCAAACCTCAGTGACCTCTCTGAGTGATCTCACCATCTCCTGCTCCTAAATGACTTCTGTTTGTAACATAACACCTCCTTTGTGTCCAAGCCCCAGGTTTAGGAGTCTTCCCCCTAAAAAAGGGATCACGACCCCCTTGTTCAATCCTGTGTGTCCCAGCAATTCTTTGGTGATGGATAGGAAAGGCTGTAGGTATTGCTGGGCATGTTCCCAGTTGGCTGTGGGCCTTTCTGCATAGCAGGATAAAGCCCTCTCCAAGCTGTGGTTGTCCCAAGCCAGCTTCTGCAATGCAGGAACATGTGATTTTCTGCCTGGTGGTAAACTGGAAAGAAAGGGTGGAAAAAATTTCCCTCTCCTCCATCCTCCCCAGCAAAATGCAGGCCAGCTGTAATTCATTCTGTGGCTATTACAGTTCTTGCAGTTTGAGCCACTCAGCTGATTTTGACCAGTTAGAAAACAAATAATCAACATCAGCCCAAACAATACTCAACGTCTATTGCTTTTGGTAAGAGGAAGCTTGGAGCACCCCTGGAGCAGCTCCAGGAGCTGGCCTCCCCTTTCCAGCTCCAAGCCACACCAGGCTGGCCCAAGAGATATTCAGCTGGCCACCACAGGGCAGTGCTGGAGCCACTGACCAGCTACTGACCTGGTAGGAAACGGTGTAGCCGTGTTTGATTTCTGTGCAAAAATGCGGATTTATAACTGGTATTTTAATCCCTGGGAAATATAGCAAGTTGGTGTAATCTCTGTAGCCCTTGTCTGATACTCAATATAAGAGCACTCAAACTATTTAATACACAGGCATGACTTACTATAGTAGAAAAAACATGATTTGCAGGTGGAGAGAAACTTTACCTAAAGTAAAACTCGTGTGAGCTCTGACCATTTAGGACTTTTTGGGCAGTGATGCATTATTTATAGAAACTAAGTACTTGGAATTCTGTCTTTGAACGTTAACCAGATCAGGCTGGTAGCACCATCACAACCTACAAACTTTCTTACCACACAGGGAGGCATGAGGACTGTGGTTTTATTGCATGTATAATTCACCTGTCCCCAGCTGTGGCCCACAACAGGAGGATTTGAATGCAGGGGAAGGATTCCAAACTAGGTATGGGGCAACTCACGCGGTATTTCGCTGCTCAGGGAAATCCCCATCACCTATAGGTACCTTTCTTGTGCTTTTAGCTGGAAGAACCCATGCCTCTCACATGCTTCCAAGATACTGCCCTCAATGATCTCATATAAAAGTACGCTTTGTTCAATTATTCCAGCATGTAATGCTTTGTTCTCATGAATTCTGGAGCTACTCTGATGTGCAGTAGGGCAATTGAGACTTAATTTCATTATTCATCTCAATATGTTCCTGCTGTATTCAGGGAGCAGACTATGGGCCCTCCTGTGGCTAATTTAGCACCTGCAAATCCCCATGCTTAAAACCAAAGGCTGAATAACCTCCTGAATGAATTGGCAGGAACTATGCACAGGTCAAATCATCATTCTTGCTGGGAAGACTTTTTTCTGTAGAAACTTTGTATATGCTTTCCTGTCTGAAAAGGAGACCATCATGTCCTAGTTCTTCAAGACCAGGCTGTATCCCACTTTTTTTTTTTAATAATATATATTTTTCATTTCTTTTGAGAAAATCTGAGCAGAATTTGAGGGACGATCTGGGCCATCCTCAGATTGGAGCTGTTAACAGCTACCTCCTCAGCTGCCATGGAGCATGCGCTGAAGTTAAGCAAGCACAGGCTATTTAAGCTAAAATAGTGAAGAAGTTCCTAATGAAGCCTTCACCTAAGCTGACAGACTCTGCCCTGGTGTGGATGAAGATTCATCAAAAAGCCATTCTGCTGTTTCCACCACAAACATAACAGCTTCTGGAAGTCTGAAATAAATATTTAAGTGCAGTAAAATTGAAGACTTTTTGTCTAAATTGGCAAGATGCTATCTTTCCTAAATCAGATGGTACAACAGCTTTAGAATTGCTTGGCCTTACCAGCTATGCTTACTCATTCTTACCGTTTGCACTTTAAGATGCTTCAGAGTTTAGTAGTCATTACTGCAGATAACCAAGCCTCAACAGGAATTTGCATGTTTTCCCTGCCCCCTCCGTATTTTGTTTCAAATTATGAATTTCAGTGTCTTGGAAGACAATGCTAGTAAGATTCTATACCTTAAGTCATGTAACCATAACATACACTCAGGTGCTTTCTTGGCACAACAGCAAGACTGGTTTCCTTCAGCTGTGTAACGCAAGCTGGAAACCCCTCTAAAAGCTGATCTCCAAATTCAGTTTAGGTTTTTTTTTTTAAACCACTGAGTATACATGACTTAATATTTGTTATGCAACCGTAACAACTGTCCTTTTCAAGAAAGATTCCTGCGTAATGTGCATACAGAGAATCCAAGGCAAACATGACTTGATCTTAAAACTTTAATAGTAAAAAAAGTGTGAAACCAAACACACCGCTGAAAACTTATCAGTAAGAATGAGAATTTTAAGTGTTCAAATTCAGAATAGTGCAAATTTTCTTCATTCCCCTCCTGCCTCTTCCAAACTTAAATCACTTTGGTTAAGATACTCAGAAGTATTGGCAAAAAATGAACTTTTGACTTACATTTTTGGCTGCATTATTTCTAACACATACAGACTTATTTTCAGTCTTTACAAATAAATCTTAAATACTTCTCTATCAATCAAACAGCTGTAGAGATCACTGTCACCTTTACTTACATCTGGTTTTATAGCGTTTTGAAATTGGTTTCAAGATGATTACAAAACTGTCTCCCCAGCAGGTAGCATACTTAAAACAGCTGAGCTGATCCAGTCCCGATCCGAGGACCTAATTTCTTCAAGTAATCCTATAAAATGGGATTATTTAGGTTTTAAACATTTGAGTAAGGATCTTATACCAATGAAATTACACTTGATTTACACCAAAGGAGGATTAGAATTGGGGTCCACTCTGTAATACACACTTTGTGCTAAACTTTTCCTGCTACAAAAAAGCACAAGCAGCAGTTATAGCATTCCCTTAGAAGAGTGAAAACAGCCAGAACACTGCTACCTTGCCTCAACATCTTTTTTGATGGGTCTGTCTTTAACCACTGCCTCTAACTATATCTGAAGCCATGTAAGATTGGAAATGAACACAAAAATAATTGCATAATACAAAAAGGCAAATCCATAAAAGTTTACAAGTACACCATAACCACAAAATTGGAGTATTTCTAAAAATTTGGGTTCAATGAAAGACACAACAAAACTAGCTTTACTAGTTAAATAAATTATTGCTCCATTTGACTCCATGCAGCATTGAAATGAACTCAGAACCTTTTTCTCTTTAATCTCTCATAAAAAATGATAGATATTGAAGAGAACATGAGGCTCAGATTTACTGTACATTGCACTTCAACTTTTAAGACCTAATACTTGCTATTTAGGTCTCCTGTGGTCTAAGCTATCAAATGAATACATTGTGCTCACCAGAACTAAGTATTAAGAAACACCAAATGTTTAATGTAGTGACATAAGCACTTTTTTTTTCTTTTAAGAAGGCAATCACAGATTGCAAGTCCTATAGGGTCGTGAAAAAACAAGTAGTGATCTCCTTCAGAAACTTAACTGAGAAAACAAGCTGTTTGCTATTCTTCACATACAGTTTAAATCACATTTTAGGCCTGCTTCTGTTTCCAATCATTTCAGTCAAACCCCTGACTCAAACAGAAGCAAGATCGAGGACACCTCCAGGAGGAAACTGTAGATCTAAGGAGTTGGGGGCACATACTCAGTGGCCAAGCAGTGGCCTGCAATGCACGTTTTTTTCAGTGACACCAGACATTTAAGATACTCTAGACCTCCTTCAGTGAGATACTGAAGCATACATCTAATATTAAGCAGGAGTACTCACACACACTTAAAATTTCTTACTGAATTGGGGCCAGGAGTTGATTCTTGCAAATCTGACTGTAAGGTTCACAAGTAATGAAATTTCCAGTCAGAATTTCCTGATAAAGTTCACGTTAGAAGAAGATTGTCTCCAGTGTTCACCTATCGTACTGAAGTAATTTAGAAATTCCAAACTAAGTGACTTCCAACCTTTTGTCCCTCCAACCCTCTCCACCCTCAAAGACAGAAACTTAATGCAGCATTACAAGTAAGGGCACAATTCCTTCATAAGACTCCTAAAAGCATTAGTGCAATGCCTTTAATCTGTTTCGATCACTCTTATTTTTAAATAACCCTATTTTTTAAAGATTTGGATAAATACTATTCCTATTAAACCATACTTCATCATTGTTAAGCACCATCGATCTACTTCCTTTGGGCACTGATACAAGAGCTTGTAATTAAATTTCAGTTTCAAGGCTTTAAAATACGGCAGCTGCTTCAATAACTTACACTGGAATCTAATACTTGGAAAACTGCCACTTAGCCTGAACAGTTGTATGCAACTTGGTGTTAAACTCTTCCAGAGAACAGCCATACCCAAATGCTTATGCGGTAAATCAGGGTAAGATTTCAAGATAAGCAGTTAATTTCACTTGGCTATTCTAAGAGTGGATTAATATTTTTTCCACAAGTCATTTGTGCAGTGAGCCCATAAAGAGATTATTTTTTCTAAATAATCTTCAATTTAAACCAGGAACGTATCTTCGTAACGTTGCTTTCACACTGGCACCGTGTTCTCTTCTTCAAAGATTTAGTCATTGTGTGGTTTCTCTGGAATACCCTATGGATAAAACACAAACATGTTCTATTTTAATGCTATCTGATAAGTGACTACATTATGCAATATTTTCAATGATTAAATAGTCAACTAGTTTCAGGTAGTCTGACGATGACTGAGCAGACATGGTTTCTTACGAAAGCTCAACACGGACGTGCTCCTTAACTGGGGACAAAAGAGTCACTATGAGTCTGTGCTGCCTCAGATGGTGCATCTGATAAATCCATCTACCAATCACACTGCTTTTTATAAGACTTTGTTAGCTTTCTTCCCTATCTCAGTTTATTTCTTAGCAGAAGGTACACAGTGATTCACTTAATGGGTATTAATTCAGTTTAGGTGGGTTGTTTGGTTTTTTTTGGTGTTTTTTTGTTTTTTTTTTTTTTTTAAAAACAGCTCTCTTTCAAACTGTCTTCAAGCATAAATTATTTATTTATCCAATCAAAGCCTGGTATCAGATAGACTTACTCATTTCCTCCCAAGTCCCTTTTCTAGTATGAAACCCTTTAGTATGTCAGTGTAAAAAATTTAACTAACTTTTCTTTAAAACAAAGCTTGTAAATGTTCTCATTCCAGAGCCAAAATGCCAATGTATTTGCAAGTACTGAATGTGTTCAGTTCTACAGCCTCAAGCAGCAGCAAATAATAGATATTTGTGAGGTCCAAGTGCTGAATACCACCCTAGTTTGCCAGATGTTGAGAATGATGGTTACAACTCCAAGTGAAGTGTGGCCTCCCATTTAACCCAGCTGAGGAGCACTGAGCAACTTCAGGTGCCATAATGAACAGCGAGAGATGATGGCAGCACCAGCACCTTCACCTTTTCTTTCAAAATCAAGCTATTAATGTTGGATTTCACTCTCAAGCTGATAGGAAAAAAAAAAAATCCCAAACCCTCTGCTAACAGCAGGTTTGCTTAAAGCTCCCAGTTACTGTTTCTCAGGACGGGAGGGGATGTTGCAGAGACACTTCTCATTTCTTTTCTAACTGCAACAGCTAGGCAGGGGCTGAGAAAGAAGCAAGGCAACTTTGCTCCACTAGACTATTTTCCACAGGTGCCACCTTCTCCTCTAGACATGCCCAGAAACTGTCTACTGCTTGATCTGCAACTGTCACATGCAGCAAAACAGCTCGGGGACTACATGAGAATACAGCTACAAAAGCAACCATTTTATTTTGGTTTTGCTAAAAAAAAATGCAACATTCCATCTTATTGCCACATTCACAATGGCTGACAAAACAGACTGATGCTTTGGGGCCATCTCTATAGGAGAAAGACGTAGTAGACTGAATGCTGCCATTCTGCTTTAGAAGTGGAATTCTGCTTTAGAAGTGGAATTCTGCTTTAGAAGTGGAATTCTGCTTTAGAAGAATTTACAAGCGGAATTTCCAGCACTGAATGCTTCCCAGTGACTTGCATGAGTGTCCCTATGAAAATGTTGGGCTTCTCCAAGTTTTTCCAGACTAAGCAATGGTAATGTAAAACATGAGAGGATACTTCTAGATAACCAGAATAGAATGCTTTGCCTTGCCACCTTCCCTCTTTCTTTGTACAGAAGGTAAAAAGATTGACAGGAAAGTTGCAAGCAGGAGCCAATCTGATTTTAACTATATCCAGGTGACATGCCAGGTGAAAAGAAGTTAAAGAAAAAGAGAAGAGAGTCCTATGTGCCCTTGCAAGCAGGAGCCAATCTGATTTTAACTATATTCAGGTGACATGCCAGGTGAAAAGAAGTTAAAGAGAAGAGAGTCCTATGTGCCTAAATTTATTTTAGCTCTTTCTTCTTTAAAGCTGCCTTCCTTTGCTTTCTAACATAAGCAGCACAGCAAGTGGAAGTAATGCATGTGCCAATGTAAAAAATATAGAACTGTAGCATATAACTGACTGTAATTTTATTCTGAAACTCTTCTTGCAGTAGCAAAGCTTAAATAAAATTATATTAATATATATTTTTCACTTGATGTGAGTGGCAAATTTAAAAAGAGACATTACACCCTCTCTTCCCCCCATACATACAGTCCTAAGAAAAATGACATGCAGATAGTATGCACCACTGGGATTTGAAGGGGGAGTAGAGAGCTTGTATTTTAAAGAACCTCAGAGCAAACCAAAACTGACTGTGAAGTTAAGGTTATGACCATGGTCCCGGGAAATCTGTAACTTGGTATCAAGTCAGCATGAAAGAAAAAACCCTCAAGAACAGGAGTAGATTTGCCCCATGCTTTTTTTTTTTTAACCAACGTTTTCTACAAGAGGCTACTGTTAATTTAGTGTAACTGAGAATCAATACTAAAGAAACGTTATCTTTAATGTTAGCCTGTGGTGGTCAAGCAACACGGCTCTCTTCCCCAGCTTGTCTGTGAGCCTGTCTATCCACAGCATCAAGTTCAAACTATCCACATAAGGAGTACAGTTGCATCCATCCACTGGGTTAGCAAGGCTAGGCAGAAGAGAGAGAGAGCCTGTTCCAGGAAAGACAGCTACTTTTACACTAGTCCTCTTACTCATTCGTGGTTCAGTGCCAAAAAGCAGCTCTCCCCCTTACTAAGCAGTTGAGAAACTAATATTTCAGGAACTCCCAAGTCTACAAACGCCCTTCCTTCAGTAAAAATTAGAGGTTCATAAACCACAGTGGCCTTAGAAAAGTTAACCACTTGAAGGTGGTTTTCCAGGATAAAGGACTTAAACAGCAAAGAAGATAGAAGTTCAATCAATACAGTATTAATTACTACTATCCAGCAGCATCACAACATTTTTCACAACCAAGCCTTAGGCTGATGTGCAAGCGTACAGCCACATTTACTCTTAAGTACTCTACTTAAGAAATAATTACTTAAGAACCTAGCAAATGAGATGATTGATAGTAATTCATACTACATTATCCCACATATGGAGCGATACACGAACTACATCTTAAGTGACCAGAAAGAGCATATTTGATTCTAGAGAGGTGGAATTTAATGCTATATAGGGACACTTCCTCTAATCTACATAAGAAAAATGTTTTACTGCATAAATAGTTAGAGAAAGCCCATCTGTGTCTCAGTTTTCTAGCTACCTTCAACGTTAATTCAAAGTACTGACAGAAAAGGAGTGATTAAGATTCTCATGAGAAGTGGTGTACTGATTCCAGTCTTATTTAGGCTGTTGCTGGAAAAAGTTAAATACAGAAGATACTCAAACACTTACTAAGACACTCTACTGGCAACACAGTTTGTACACTTACACTTCAACTCTTGGGAAGATATCTATTTATCTCCATCAATTTGAGAGTCATACCCTTAAAGGCATAGTTTGTTCTTGGAGTAACAACAATGGAAGGTATTTTGAATGTTAAAGTAAATGCTAATTATACAGTAATTACCATAGCCAGTTGGCGTCCTATGTTTCCTACAGTCACACCTCCTGAGAAAAATATACATGGAAGCCAAGAACGGATGTAAAGAAAATCTGGGGATGTATACCTAGTAAACAAAATGAAATAAGTTAGAGACAAGGTATTATCATCACCTTACATACTTTTAACAAGACACTATAGAATTCTCTTCCTGGACCCAAACAAAGAAACATAGTAACATAGGAGAAGAAATAGGGAGACCAAGTTACATCTGTTAACTTAATAAACTTGTAAAACTTAATGTCCCAGCAAAGGTTAGAAATTCTCTCTCCTGAGAGCCAGTTAATAATGTATCAAGCCAGCAGAAGTTCAGTTTGCTGAGCAGTTACCATTTCAACCTACATCCCAATTTGTAGGCTCCCCACTCTTCACCCCCAGTTCTCAATCTGATAATTTGGAACAACTGGACAATTAGCTGCCTCACACAAACAAAATGCCTTATTATAAAGACATGCCAAATATGTTAATAACTTCCAGTACATGGGCACCCGGTTTTAGTTAAGAGAGTTGAAATAGTATTTTAAAAGCATAACTTACTGATAAACACCATTATATACAAGAAACTGGGTTATCAGAGTTGCTACAAAGGCTATTGTTATTCCAAGTCCGAGACCACTTCTTGAACGATCAAACGTCCACCAAAGACCCAGTGATAAGGCTGCTAGAGTCAAGGACAGCTGGACATTGTTTGCAAAATCTAGTTTCTGGGAAAAGATGTTAAGGACAATCCTTTTAAGTCTGCAGATATCCTGCTGCTGAAACTGAACAAGGGAGAACTCAAACTGAAAGTGAGCATGATTCTGTATCTCTAAATACAATACATTAAGGATCTGGTTTTCAGACCTGACAAGCAGTCATAGCTCTTGCTGACTTTGACTGGAGTATGAGTGCAAACACAACACCATTCTCATCACACTGGGCATCTAAAGAATATACTATGTTGTAATATATCTAACTTTTATGGGTTTTTGTCTCAAGTAGCCTAAATCAGCAGGGATAGCTGGGTCTTCTGCTCAAACCATCATTATTTAACACAAAGAACACTCTTACTGAGCAGTTCAGTGTACCTCACTAGTTAATTGTGTTAAATATTAGATGTAGACAACATACAAATTAAAATAACAAAACTTATACTTTTACACTTGCACCTAAAGCAGACATACTATGACGTCTATCCCTCCCCTCTCCCAGAACCCCCCCAACTACTTTTAAGTGAACTGTGTTATCTATCTTAAAGTAACTACTGCAGGGTACTGCAGGTCTCACAGAAGTTTATGTCTCTGCCAGTAGGACCACCCTTACCTTTGTAATTCTCCCAGGCGCGAATGGGAGAGGCTGTTTCATGACAACAGACTAAGCACATCGAGCAACAACGTAAACTAGTTCAAGGATACAGCACTTGCATGATTAATGCCAACGAAAACTGCTATACATCGCATCACGCTGGCCCACTCTCTCTTGAATTTGTGCGGTTCCCCAAGGTGGCTGTCAATGCAGGGATACAGCAGGCCAACAACAGCTGCAAGAGAAGTAACACTGCTTGTACTAATCATTATACAACAATTACTTCAATAGTATTAAATATTAATTTGGCAAATAAGTGCTTGACAAAGTAGTGAGGTGCTTATCACACTGCTGTATGCCTGATGAAGAAGAGACAATTATTACCCCCCACTTTAGAAAAAAGCTGCCCCCCGCAACAAACAATATTCTGTTTGAACCTTTAAAGCAGAGGTATATATTGCAATGTTAAGGTATCTAACTTCAAGCTCCTTTTCTCTCATCAGCATCTCTCATCTGACATCTGGAGCAGATGCTTGCTTTGTACCAACAAATACCAAAACTGAAAGCTTAACTACAGTGAGGAACAGAATATGCATTCATTGCTCACATGCAGGGCAGACAGTTTTATGAACTTGACTCATTAGCTGTGAATCAGGCCCTGAATTAAATATTTGCCTGGACTCAAAAGTTTCTTGGCAGAGCTCCTTTCTCTCCTTCTGCTGGGTTCCAAGTCAGCCTATGCTGCCATCCAGATCAGATGAATTTTTGATAGCAAACAGAAGCAGAGCTGGACTTAAAAGAAGCACCTGCCATCAGTCATATTTATGTTAGGGAAAAAGAACTACTCTTACTGTTAACCAAAGTTTTTATCCTCATATAGCATTTTTCCAGCCTTATCAGTCTGCAAACTGGTAGCAGAGGAAAAACATAGGCTAGTGTTAGCTCAGACAAACACTAAAGGAGTTTCATTCTTCTAAGCCTTGCAACTCCATGTATTGTCACCAACTCCAGGGTCAGACACGTTGTTTTAACTGTAACATGTATATTTGTTTCCTTTTGTAACCTTCTCCCTCCCCACCCCAAACTCCTAAAAGGAATAACTTCTAGGTTAAGAAGACTGCAAGACATATTGTTTGAAGAAAACCATGTGATCCGATGCTGAAACAGTTTCATTGTTCTGATGCCAGTTACCAGGACTTTTACCGTATGATAACAGCTAAATGCCAAAGCTTACTCTAACTGTGAAAGGACTATGAGAACACTCATTGGGACATATTTTGTAGCAATCTCTTTTTACTACTTTTTTACGCAGTTTTATCATCCATTCAGGTTTATGGTTTATCATTCATACTCCCTTACTATGAGGTACAAACAGCACATGACAAGCTGGTGGATGACAAGCTGACCATGAGCCAGCAGGGTGCCCTTGTTGCCAGGAAGGCCAATGGCATCCTGGGGTGCATTAAGAGGAGTGTGACCAGCAGGTCAAGGGAGCTTCTCCTCCCCCTCTACTCTGCCCTGGTGAGACCCCACCTGGAGCACCGTGTCCAGCTCTGGGCTCCCCAGTTCAAGAAAGATGAGGAAATCCTAGAAAGAGTCCAGAGGAGAGCAACAAGGATGGTTAGGGGACTGGAGCATCTCCCCTATGAGAAAAGGCTGAGAGAGTTGGGCTTGTTCAGCCTGAAGAAGAGAAGACTGAGAGGGGACCTCATCAATACATACAAATATCTTAAGGGTGGATGTCACGAGGATGGAGCCAGACTCTTTGCAGTGGTGTCCAGAGACAGGACAAGGGCCAATCAGTACAAACTGAGACAGTTTCAGTTTAATATGAGGAAAAAATTCTTTGAGGGCAACAGAGCATTGGACCAGGCTGCCCAGGGGGGTTGTGGAGTCTCCTTCTCTGGAGATACTCAAAGCCTGCCTGGATGATGTCCTGCGTAACATGCTCTGGGTGACCCTGCTTTAGCAGGGGGGTTGGACTGGATGATCTCCCGAGGTCCCTTCCAACCCTTGCCATTCTGTGATTCTGTGACAGTATCACCGCATTAAAACAGACATGGAAGAGCTGTTGGAAGTACTTCCAACGCAAATCAAAAAAAGACGACGGTGGGTTTACTTCCTAAAGTTTAACGCCTACCTTAATCCCCCAACCCTTCACCAAGGCCTTGCGCTGGTTGTGACAAGGACAGGAGGGAGCTGTTAACGTCAGAGCAACGGGTAAGCGCCGGCTGCTGCACCCACCGCACCGCCGACGTGTTCCGCG